AAACTCCTCTAAGTCTAACCACATACTTCCGATACATGCGAGCCGCTGCTTGAGTATTTCCTAGGGCAGCACCATAATAGTAAAGCATTTCTGCATAATCTCGCGGAGAATATGAAATGATTCTACTCATATGCCAAAAGTTAGATACAAATTCCGCGCTGGACCATTGCTTGACTTAGTAATTTCGGTCGGACCGAAGATTGAACGCTTCCGCATTTGGAATGCCGAGTTGAATGCCCAATCTCATGAAGCTGATTCCGCTATTTGCGTAAAAAATGTGCCATTTTGATTTTATAAAATGTTAATGCACACAGTATCACTCGCTAGGACGAATCTAAGAGTACCTCGCATGTCAAAATCCATCAACTCGTTTGGACTGTAGCTCGTAAAATTGAATTTCTTGTTTATATGTATAGATACCCACCTGCGTCAAACACACAGATTTTTTAAGGTGGGACACTTATCGCAGCAAGCTGAAATTTTCAGGATTTATTCTACATGGATTGAAATAGTTTTTACAATACCGCCTTCCAAAGTTGAGGGATGGAAGAGATTTTTCACAAAAAAATGAATTACAAGATTTTTTGCGTTGATTTCTAATTAGCTCTGTTGAAAAGTGACATAACCATTGCTAAAACTATCCATTTAGCTCATCTCAAAAAAAATCACAGCCCTAAACCTAATGGTTTGGTTGTAATTGCGATTGAATATTCATGATCATGTTTTTTTAGAGATTTCACAAAATTGCAAATATCTCCTGAAAATAGTATTGCGGACCACACATATAGGGGTTGATTCAATAGATTTTGAGGCTCTCTGTCGCCTGACTTCCGTTGATCCACTACTAACTTTACACCCTGTATGTAGGAGCTAGTAATACAAAAAGTTTCTAATCAATGGCCATATAAATCATAAAATCAGATCGTCTGTTGTAAGTCTTTTTAGAATTTATCAGGGTTGAACACCCTTTAATCGGATCTTAGAGTCATAGTGCAATAGAGACTTTTGATCAGATTGGTATGGAGAAACGCCATACTAAAATTCCAGGCCATATGACCGGCAGCCATTTGTCATAAAAGGAACGTGCCATCTCCTATATGTTGCACATTTTTTACTTAGATTAGTGCACTGGCACTTAGAATGAACGAAAAAGTGGGCATCTTAAGTAACATCCGTGAGACAAGAAGCGACCATGGAGATTTGTCTACTTCATCATCTCCGGATATCAGACCGCTGGACCGCATCGTTAGCAGCTCAGCAGCTTTCCAAAATTTCCTTAGGAGTCTCCATAATGAAAATAGATCGAATTATACTGTAGTGTACGATACCTTTTAAAGATTGTTGTTGTGAGAATTTGTCAAATTGTATGCACTCAAAGCGAACAAGACATTATACAACTAAAAGTGTTTCCTTTAAGCTTTCCTGCCACCTTTGTGTAGAAACGGATATTACAGTCAAAATAAGAAATAGTTTTGTAGAAATTACCACATAGCTTAGAATTGTTACATACCTTATATATGCAACATTATGAATATTATATTAAAAGCTCCTATACACCCTTTTTGAATAAAAAAGAATGGACTAAATTTATGTACGAATAATAAACTGGTGGACAGTTGCTTTGTAAAATTTTACCCAAATTCATATCTCGATATTTTCGAAACAGAAGGAGATATCGAGTTGCGGTATTCTGGAGGCTTCTGACCAACTCTTTGAGAACACCTACAGGGTTCGATCGGCATATTTCTTTTATTTACTTACTGAGGGTGAGCAAAGGAAGTGCGGTTTTTTTAGCAAAGTTAGGGGCTATGCCAAATTCTCAATTTTTGATGTTGGAAAAAATGTTTACATGCATCTGTTTGATCGTTGGACAAGACAAGAAAGTAAATTCTCAAATTTTTCGAAAGTTGGCTGTAACTCAAATTACCGAATTTTAAAAAAGTGTTAAATTTATCCCTAAAAAAGGTGAATCCAGCGCGATGCAGCAGCGCAGTACTCGGGAACATATTCTTCGGAAGAAAAGGATCAAGTTTTGTATCACATTTTTTAAATAAAGAAGTAAAGTGTGAAAGTGAAATGAAATATATATTTAGGTGAATGATCTTGAAATGCGTGTTTCTGGAAGAAGGCTCTTCAATAATGCAAATTAGGTGAGTAACTTTACATCTTTGATATTGCTACCATCGTAATCGTATGAAAACTGTCTAGTCTAGATAATTAATCACAATAGCAATCAACGTTACTTCAACAACTTGATTCAGTTATCGGAATGTCCACGCGTTCACAGCTCCGTGCAGAGCCCTTTTCGGTTAAGCTATTTTTTTAGTAGTGGTGTTCACTATAGGGTTCTTGTTTGTCTCTCTGTGGTGATTTGGTGTTTTAGTGTCGTAACGTGGGTTTCAGGTGAGTCTTGCATCCTCATCTACTTGTGCGTGTTAGGGTTGACATCCTATGTTTTTTAAATAAATTGCGCACATTGCATACACTGAGAGATTAGTCATATACTAAGGTATTTGGGAAAAACTAAAATTTGGGTAATTGGTTTTTATTTTTGTCTGACTTTATCTTAAGAAATGTCAAAAAACTAATGGCACTACATGATGGTGTTTTTAAATGTGCCCGAAGTGCACAACATTTACAAAAGTACGACCCTGAATATAATAGCATCTCTTTCTACGACTTCCACGATGTATCACGTTACATTTGTTTTTTTTAAGTTATAAACAAACGTGTTTTTTCTATTTTTCCATTTTATTTAAGTAGGCGTTGCAAACAAATTTAATGCCTGATGTAAGATTGTGTGATTACTGAATTTAACCTAGTCTGATCCTTGCCTTGGCCACCCTCTAATACATTATTATAAAAAGAAATTTACAGAAACGTGCACTAATCTAACGTTCTTGTAAGTATTCTTATGTACTTACATTCATTTCTGAAAAATCTCAAGCATATTAGCAAATCCTAGAACAAAATACTATTTAGTCCAAGGAATTGGTGATAGTCTATAATTTACAGTATCGTGCTTTGACACTAAGCCATTTCGGCACTCTGGTGTTTTCAAACCTGGAATCTCAGCCCCGTATTTAGGAAACTACAATGTCTTACCTTGGTTGTTGGAGGATACGTGGGCACCAAATGTCCAAGAGTAGGGATGTGATGCGTCCAAAATGCGTCTGGCTGTAATTCCACATGATCGACGAGTTATAAGTTGGATAAGTTATCAAGCTGTCCATTTTCAGCTTCCTCAAAATGAATGCCTAATATCTCTGCGTATAAGACAGATACTAATAAATAGTAGAGTAAAATGAAAATCGAACTTCTCCTATAATTTATAGATGAAATAGTTAATAAATACATTTATATAATAAAACATTGTTTTTTTCCAATTGTTGGAAGAAGTTTAAAAAATCTTCAGAGATATTAACTTTGCTACGCCTCAGATCTTATATAGGTATCTCCATTGGTATTCCTCAATATTTTATTCAAAACTTCTCTTTTTTATAACATTCATCAAAATAGCAGAGGTAGCAAAATCGTCCGATGAGCAGGTGGCAAGAATGACAAGATTATCTGTCGAGTCAAGACGGATGTCTATCCCGGGGTACCGATGGATATATTTAGAACGTCAAAGCCGCAATTTTTCATTTGCAGTTTCTTAACAGGTTTAGCGCCAGGGCATACACCGGTGTCTGCTGTGAGGTTCTCCGACTGGGCCATGGCATACACCGGTGTCTGCTCTCGCTTCGCAACTTTATCGGCTTGGCACGGCCAAGCAGACACGCTCTTATACAGGGTGACTTTGAAGTTGAGTCATTAATTTTCAGATAATGATTGTAGAAGGAAGATAAACCAAAATATGTGTGTAAAAATAAAAAAAAATAAAAAAAAATTTTACCTTGTTTTATAAAGTATCCTCCCGACAAGTATTTCAGTGCGGACCTGTATTTGATCGTGAGGTCCCCTCTGAGGTCTTAAGTCACCTGATTCACGAGCCCGTTGTACTACATTAACAAAGGCACGAGGGGTTGGTTGCACTCGATTGGGAAACCGATCCGCATAAACATGTGCCATTTTTTATTTCGTTTGAGCCACGCAACAGATACCACCATTCACTGTCACTGACTGTATACAAATGAATGAGAAAACATCGTTCCAAATTCTTTCGCTTTTTTGTTTCCGATGCGATGAACCGATACGGCGGATTATATCCGTTGTCGCCAAACGCGACCACATAATATTGTTATTGAGACAGGGCGGTACTCAAACTTCCAAAGGGCTATAACTTTGTTACTTTAATTTTACCAGGAAAATGGTAAAGGAAAAAAACATTTCTTTTGATCAGATCTACTCACTGTTAAAATAAATGACTCAACTTCGAAGTCACCCTGTATATTTTAATATAACGCAGTGTCTGACATGGCCCATGATGCGAGCACACTAGTTGCAGGTTTTTTGTAAGCTGTATTTTAACAATTGTTTTAATTTTTTTGTTACAAAAAGCCTTTAGTTGTGTAAGTAGTCATTTATTGTCATAATAAAAGATACATTTGCAGTGATCTAAAACAAATAATTCTAACCTGTAAAGCTTAAAAAATTTCTTAAATGAAATCTAAACTGTATTGCTACTTTCCATGAAAAATATTGAAGCAGCCCAAACAATATCTCGGATTACCTTCGCAAACGGAACAAAACGTTGTAACTCTTTTTACCTTACTCTTCCCAATTATACCTTCTTGTTTTTTTATAATAACCTCTACAGTACTTTCTATTCTCGCGAGCTTTACAGTCCAATTTTGAGAAAACGTGAGTACGAAGATTTCGTATAGGCTGCGGCCTAGGTATCGCTACATCAGGACTTTTGAATGTCAAAAGGTCTTCTATGACTGACATTCGAAATTCATTTATAGGCATGAATGACAGTCTCATCATTATGTTTGAAGAGAAAATGTGCATTTACAATCGATGTACCTAATATAGTCTCAATCGCCACTTTTTTTTACCACCGAATTGTGCGACGTAGAGCAGTACTGTAACATTTGGTCAGATATATCAATTGAGGATTTCCCACGATTGTAATCAATTATGGCTTTCGGCTTGTGAATAACGTGTCCACGCCGTTGAACCTGCACTGTGTCATCTGTATGGCAAGTAGAAAGGACAAGCACGGCTCTCTTGTGTCTCTCCATATTAGAATACAGATGCCTCTCTCATTTTCTTTTGCAGTGATTTTTCCAGTTTTTTCTTTGTAACACTGACGGGATTTCCAGCACGATTGGTCCGCAAGGTGCCCAAGCAATGGGTGTTATTATCCAAGAGTAAATGAGCGAGTTGTAGGCTGGTATACCAATTGTCAGTGATACAGATCCTGCCACTATCCAAAATTCCTGAGACAAAGTCATAATATGTGAGGAGACTGAAAAATTTCTGTTTTTGGCTTGTTCTTTTTCTTTTCCCGCATAAATACTAAGGTTCCAAGTATAACCGTTATCGCAACACAACTTGAACACTTTTATCCCATATTTATGAGTTTTCATAGGGTTATACTGTTTGAAAACTAAGCGTCCTTGATAGGGTATCATAGTCTCGTTAATACAAAATGTTTTTCCTGGCGTATAGAGTATTTTGTAATTTGATATGAGTTTATCTAGTAATGGTTGCAGTTTGTATAGACGATCTCCATCTGGACAAAGTTTATTGTCTGAGAAATGCAGCATTTTTAGCAGTAATTCAAATCTATTACGGCTCATTATATTACGAGTATATATATATATATATATGTACAGGGTGACTTCGAAGTTGAGTCATTTATTTTAACAGTGAGTAGATCTGATCAAAAGAAATGTTTTTTTCCTTTAACATTTTTCTGGTAAAATTAAAGTAACAAGGTTATAGCCCTTTAGAAGTTTGAGTACCGCCCTGTCTCAATAATAATATTATGTGCTCGTGTTTGGCAACAACGGATATAATCCGCCTTATCCGTTCATCGCATCGGAAACAAAATACCGAAAGAATTTGAAACGATGTTTTTACTACAATGATCTTATTCAGTTGTATTCAGTCGATGTGTCAGTCGGTAACGCGTGAGTGGATAGTGAATAAAAAATGGCACATGTTTACGAAAATGCTGAATGTAGTACAAAGGGCTCGTGAATCAGGTGACTTAAGACCTCACAAGGGAGAGCATGCCGGTGCTCCAAGACCGCACGATCAAATACAGGTCCGCACTGAAATACTTGTCGGGAGGATACTTTATAAAACAAGATAACATTTTTTTTTAATTTTTTTTTATTTTTACACACATATTTTGGTTTATCTTCCTTCTACAATCATTATCTGAAAATTAATGACTCAACTTCAAAGTATATATAGGGTGTCCACAAAGTTGGGGTTTTCCTTTACACGACGTGTAGATCTTGAAAACATAAGCAATTTTTCTTAGTACCATATACACCAATGTCTTAAGGGAACCGAGATAAAGGGCTCTGCAACATCAAAAATATGTGAATACCGTCCTGTAGCCGCGACATCACCAACTGGTACAAGGTCCCTGGCTCAACCCGACGACAGAACTGGGTCGGGGTCAGTGTGTCAGGTCAGTATGCAACCTTCAACCGACGGTTACGGTCACGCGTGTAGAGGTAAACGAACCCGTATAATCGATTGCGTTTCAAAAAACAACAAGCACTAGAGACGTGGCTAGAGAAGTGCAAGTATCAAAAACTAAAGTGTGGCAAACGCTGTGTGAAGAGGGGCTGTATCCGTTTCACGTCCAACGTGTACAAGCCCTTCAACCTGACGATTTTCCAGCAAGAGTGCGGTTTTGTGAGTGGTTGTTGCATCAACATGACAATAATCCGGACTTTTTGAAGTGCATATTGGTGACAGACGAATCTACGTTCACGCGTAATGGGGTGAATAACTTTCGCAACACTCATGTTTGGTCAGTAGAAAATCCGCGCGCTGTCCGTCGGGCACATTTTCAACAAACAATTTCGGTGAATGTTTGGGCTGGCATGGTGAACGGTATGCTCATTGGACCATTTATTCTCCCAAATCGATTGGACGGGATGCAATACCTAGACTTTTTACGCAACATTTTGCCTTCCTTGTTAGAAGATGTGCCCTTAAGTGTAAGACAATCAATGTGGTTTCTGCACGATGGTCATATTTGTTACCTCTGTTCGTGGTCTGCACCACCGCCGGTGTCTGCTCGGTAGCGCATCAGCTGATTTCATTTTTCTGTTGGAGCGGTATGATTTCGGGCAGAGACGTACTTAGCCCTTCTCGTCAACTGGAGAGTGAGTACTTTTTCCTTTATTTTTTTTTACTTGGTCGCCCTCGTTTCACTACACATTACCTTTGTTATTTCAAGGGTAGTTGTTTCTGAAAAGGAAAACCCCAACTTTGCGGACACCCTATATATATATATATACTAAGTGACTATACTAAGTGACATATAAATCCGAACACCCAGTTTAAATGGTTTTATTTTAATAAAATTTTGTATAAGTACTTAATGAAGCATAATAAGTAAATGATAAAAATTTCAAAATAATTGCACTGCTTTAAAGCCCTTTGACCTTTAATAATGTGTGGATGCACCCTGATGTGCTACGCATTCTCCAACGCGCCTAGGCATGCTTCTGATCAGGTGCTCAATGTCCTCCTGTGGTATCTCATTCCAGGCAACCCCCAACTCCTCTCGAAGTGCTTCTAGAGTCTGAGGAGGACGTTGCAAATTGAGCAATCTCCTACCCATCATATCCCACACGTGCTCAATTGGGGATAAGTCGAGAGATCTTGGTGGCCATGGTAACAATGTGACATCATTATGTTGAAAGAAGTCTATTGTGACTCTTGCAACATGTAGTCGGGCATTATCTTGTTGGAAAGTTGGATCTGCCAGGGTGTCAAGATAGGGTAAAAGATCGACTCGTCACTAAAGACAATACTGTTCCATTCCTGATCCCAAAGTGACGGTTGACTGCACCACTCAAGGCGATTACGTCGGTGTTCTCGAGTTAAAGGGAGGAACCAGTGTGGCCGGTATGAAAACAAGCCAAAACTTCTCATTCGTCGGTAAACACTTCGCATGCCAATAGGTCTTCCGTGTTCTGCAAACCATTCATTTGCAATGGACCTGGTAGTGGAGAAACGGTCCCTTAAGGCCAATAATCTTAGGCGGCGATCTTCACGGTCTGTTGTTCTACGGCGGCGTCCAGTGCCCCTTGCTCTTTGCGTACGGCCTTCTCGAAGCCATGCTTGACAACACCTAACCACAGTGTCTACACTTCTTTGCACTCTAACTGCAATTGCCCGAAAAGAAAGTCCAGCTTCCCGAAGTCCCACTATACGGCCCCTACCAAACTCACTAAGTTGACGAAATCGTACAGGTCTCCGTACTCTAGGCATCGTAACCGATCGTAAAGGATGTCAAGAACCAAAATCCGCCAACGTTGATTCTTTACTGCGGCTGAAATATTCATTTTTAGAGCGTTAGTGAATTAAAAAAAAGCAGTATAAAAACCGGAATGTCCAACTGATACGGCTGAAAATTTTTTCACTTGTTATTTACAGTAAGATAAATACATTCACCAACTTTTATTAAAATAAAACCATTTAAACTGGGTGTTCGGATTTATATGTCACTTAGTATATACATACATAATATAAAAGTATAGCAATCTCAGATTTATATGTAGAGCTGGCAATGTTGCGGGATATTAATGCACAATCTGCCAACCCTTTCGCACCCTCAAAAAATGGCTCTGACAACCACACAAGTCACCGTGTTGCCATTGAATAGTAGAATTAAACCTTCTTCAGTGTATATGTTTTGTGTTTCCTAACCTCAATAATCTGTGCCTCAACGGTCAACGCAGCGGCATAACCCGAACTTCCCTGTTTGCATTTACGATTTCCTTGTATGCTTTTAGCACTTTTAGTTTAGTGTACACTGGAGATGTTATAAACTATGTATGCAACTTAATAGGCAGACTTATATAATAGTATTACCACGGTGAACGTTCAGTATGCCTTCATTCTTCGTAATAGTAATTAACCTGTCCAATTTCTTCACTGACCATAGGCGGCTAGCTAGATTATGTGTAAATGAAGCTATCCAAACAATCGGAGATTTTCAAAATAGAATTAGCGATATATTCAGCATCCACGACTTCCACTTACTGTGTGATAATCACTTCTTACCTCCGACCGAAGATGTACATATCGTCAAAGCAAATGAGCTCATTTGGTAAGCCTTTTTGTTTTATTAATTCATAACAAACAAAAAGCAGGGGGTGTACCGGTATAACTGAATTTCTGTATGGCCTGCGGGCCATATGCTCATAGTTGCAGTTAGTGTGCGAGTTCCCAGTATGAGGGTGTATGTGCTGTAAGACATTTTTTCTTCGATTCATTGCAGACAGCAGGTGTACACTTTCAGCGAGAGACTGTCCATGCTTGATACACTCCAGAAAATCTGTGATCCCAGTTTATTGGAGACTCTTCCTTTTCTATTTCTTTTAAGAATCAATCAGTCAATAACAATTTCACCAATAAACTCTCATTCCTTATGGCAGTTGTAGTATTATGCTGTTCAGGTTTTGCTCTTATTTGTTCAAGTATAAATTAGAAGAATCAATTGATGTTTCAGTTTTGTTGCTTGACAAATACAAAACATGTGAACAAATGTGGTTGGATATTCTTTTATGTTCTTATTTTATAACTGCTTAACTGAAGTGCAAATCTCTATATGATGACTATCATGTTGGATGCAACTTGCAGGATATTTCATCATGGAATTTTGTAGTTTTTTTTTTAATAAATTGTAGAAATCGCAGGGTATTTTGTTAATAGCTCTGAAAGGTTGAGGATTTAATATAACTAACCAGCGAAAGTTGAAATAACAGTTTCTTATTCGGACTCTTATGAAGCTTGTGGTCTAACAACATAGTGGTTAAAAAGTCACACTACTGCATTACGTCCAGAAAAATATCTGTCATTGATTTGATTTACAGTAGAACTCCAATTTTCCGAATTAATGGGGACCGGGACCCATTCGGATAATCAAATATTCGGATAATCGGATTTTTTTTTTAAAAATTGCCATTGGAGAGAAAAATGCTACGTTTTGATATTGCACTATTTTTTTTATTGAATTAAATGAAAGAAACATGATATTTTCACATGTTTTAAATATAAATACATACATAAAATACATAAAATGTATGTACGTACATACATATGTACAAGTTTAGAAATAAAAATCATTGTTTTTTAAACATCTCCGTCAATGTAAGCTGTTTTGCGTTCTTCATCCGTTTTCGGGCAGCCAGGTCACGCATTCGCTTGACGGTGAGCAGTTGCAAGTGGTCACACTCGGGCTGACGCTCCATCCACTTCAAAGCAGTCTCGAGGCCGGCAAATGCTTCACTAGCTGATGGTCCAGCGTCTACTTCAACATCAGCAGAAAGTTCTTCTCCCACTTCCACTTCAACATCTTCTCTCACACTTTCAACAATTTCATCGTCATTGAGAATTTGAAAACCAGGGTCAGACGTGTCACAAGCCATCCACTCTCCTACATCTTCAGCACTTACTTCTGTACAACCAGGAATTTTTACAATCATTTTTCTTATTTCCTCTAGTGACAACGCATCTTCATCATCTTCATCCTCTCCATTTTCTTGTTTCTCATTTTCTTCAGATTCTTTTTTTTTGTTCTTCTCAGACGGTAGGCCTTTCAGTTTATTCCACGCACGTCTTAGCGTCACTGCCGTAACCAAACTCCAAGCTTCCGCTACCATGTAACAGCAGTCCTTTAAATTTATTTTGCTATGATTTGCCAAAACCAATTCTTCATCTTCAGCACCTTCGATCAGCAGTTTTCTCAGCAGTTGCCTTCTGTAATGGCGCTTCATTGTTTCAATAACAGACTGGTCCATGGGTTGCAGCAAACTTGTAACATTGGGAGGCAAAAACGTCGTTTTAAACTGCCCTTTCTCTCTTTCCAACAGTTCTGCTGTAGGATGAGTGGGTGCGTTATCAACAATTAAAAGCACCTTACTGCCTTCTTTTCCCACCGATTTTTGGTGCTTTTTCACTTCAGGAATAAACACTTCATCATACCATTCGGTAAACAAAGCTGCAGTCATCCAGGCCTTGGGTTGACTTTTGTAGAAGAGTGGAAGTTTTTTTACGTTTTTAAATGCTCTTGGATTTTTTGATTGTCCTATCAAAAGAAGTGGTAGTTTATGATTTCCAGTGGAGTTGGCACAGTTAAGCACTGTAACACGTTCTTTACTGACCTTATGTCCAGGGGCACTAGATTCCCTTTTAGAAGCCAAAGTGGTTTTTGGTAATGCTTTCCAAACAAGGCCAGTTTCATCGGCATTATAAACAAACTCCGGATCATAGGATTCTGCTGCAGTTTTAAATTTTTCAATAAAATTTTCAGCAGCTGCAGAGTCTGCTGAAAGCTTCTCACCAGCCAAATCTAACTCGCGTACACCATGCCTGAATTTAAAGTTCCTTAGCCAGCCGTTACTAGCCTTAAAAGATGAATAACCAAGCTTTTCTGCTAAGATTTTGGCTTTTTCACAAAGGATTGGACCTGAAATCGGATTTCCCATAGAACGTTGCTGCAAAAACCATTTAAACACGGCATCTTCCAAATTTTTGTTGGTTGCTGTCTTCATTGTTTTCCTGGAGGAACTTCCATCTTCATTTTCAAGCACCGAAACAAAGTTTAAAAGTGTTGACTTACTGTTTTTAATGTCACAAATTGTTGCTTGTCCAACACCATAAATCTCAGACAACTTCTTACCCGTTACACCTTTATCGAGTTGCTCTATAATTTTCAGTTTGTCCGCTAACGATAGCACAACACGTTTTCTTTTCGAAGCCATGGTGAAAAACAATACAGTACAATAGTATTGTAAGCCGTAGCGAAAGAGTAGCGTCCTCGAGCAAGGTCAATAGCACACTGACTATATTGGTGCGCCGTGACTGCAATGTGCCGGAACTGGAGTGGGGACTCATACCACGTGTTGTTGTGCCTACACTGACGCCGCGGACTTTGGACAAATTTAAAGTGATTCGGATAATCGGCGATTCAGATAGTCGGAGTTCGGATAATTGGAGTTCTACTGTATTTGCTGCTCTTGGAAAGCTGAAGTTTGAGATTGGGTTTTACTTAAAGTTTCATAAACCAAAATATCTCTCTGAACTATTAAACTTGATATATTACACATGGGGGCTGTTTCAATCTGTTTGAGGTTTTATCATCTGTTTTCCTGTGATCCATCTATAACTTTACAGCCTCTATGGTATTACTTGGAACACCGTCACTGTATACAATTTTTCAAAACTAGGTTCTTAAATTTTTCTTGCCTTGTGTTATTTCAGGATAGTCTTTGTCAAAGGACAAAATGTGTGGACATCATTTTGAATACATGTCTATAGTTAATGTAATAAAACTAACTAATATTTTTTGTAGATAATAATAATAATAACTTGTTGAATGTTCTTAAATTAACTTTTCACTGTTTTGACTGCTAGCTATTCACTCCTTAACTGAATGGTCTCTACCCAAATGATTCAAAAATCTGTTATCTAATTCATAGATTTTTATATTTTTTCAGAGGGGAATGAGTGAAATTAGGTTCTTACCCTAAAATTTCACAATTCAGTTGGTCATCTCAAAACCTATTTGTCATATTTTTGCAACATGCTTTTTTTTAAAAAGTCATCCGTGAAGGTAAATGCATTATTCTGTGTAAAAACCATGCAAGTCAATGCTTTCCTTCATCTTTAGATAGTACCATCTAGTAGCATTGTATAACAACATAAGTTGGTGTACTACTAGGTGGTGGGAGTATGAGAGTAATGAGAGAGAATATGATTCTACAGGGTGTCTGGAAATTGGAGAATAATTCTAATGCAACATTTCAATGAAACACCAATTTGTACATCATACTTTGACACCCTGTAGTAACAAAGGAATGCAATAGGATTACAGTGCCAAATACTTTTAAAAGTTGTATATTTAATGTGATTTCCAGAATGGTACTGTTTTCGAAAAGAATGCTTTTATGATACAAATAGACTTATGTTGTAATGATAAGATTCTATCAAATTCTCTAAACTAGGTGCTCAAAGTGGTCACCATAGGACCTTATGCATGCCCTGTACCATTTAATACATGATTCCCCCCTATCCCCTGTATCCCCCTATAGCCCCATGGAACCCTATGGGTGTTTAGGCCTTAGGCCTTTGTGGTAGTTGGAGAGTAAAAAAAAGATCCTTTTCTGAGGCATCCAATCCATTTTCTTGGATAATATTGATTCCTTGTTGTCTATATCTCCAAGTTTTATAGTGAATGTTCGATCACTGCCTTTTTATATGATTATGTCTTTTGAGATTGCTGATCACATTTAAACAGAGTGTTTATGCTAGGTGTTTCATTATGTCTGCATATTGGTACATGTCGAGCCAATACCAATCCTACCATGTAGAGCATTCACCAGAAAGGTTTCCTCACAATTGTATTTTTTTGTTGTTGAAGATATCTCAATTGAGATCCTAACTAAGATCACATGATCAAAAGCTTTGAATATCAAATAGAGGTGGTCTTTATATGGGTGGTAAAAGTTGATTCACCACCAAGGAAAATTTACACAAAGGATACTTGCGCAAGATATGTAGGATAATGGCTAATGGTGGTCAATCTGAATACTTGCTCTACTGATTATAATAAAAAAAATCATCATTAAGTCAATCCTGACATTACCTCTTATTCGCGTCATAAAAGCAGTTTTTTGATTTTCTACAAACGTGACGAATTTAAATAAAAATTGCTATAGGAAAGAAAATAGCCAACAAAATATTGGACAATATTACCATTGCAAGAAGGGTATTAAATAACTAACTTAGTTGGCACTGTGATCCTTGGCCATTCTTTGTTACTACAGGGTGTCAAACTTATGACATTTAAATTAGTTTTCATTGGAATATTGCACTAGAGCAATTCTCTTGTGGATTCTGCTATAGCATACAAATAAAGCAACACTGATTTCGATGAGACTCATCTTGTGGTTTTCATGTTGATAATCCCCCATGTTTGTCTGGCCAATCAAAACCAGATATGCTTCAAACTCTTCTTTTTCGAACGACGTTTCGGTCCCAACGATGACCTCCAAGGTCAATTGACATTTATAGACAATATATTTAATTTATCTGGACGACACTACGTTTGTTTTTTAATTTCATTACTTATCAGTGTGTTACCACCATAGTCTGAAAGGTCCTATACCATGCTGAAATTACGCGAAGCCACCGTTGTAACTTTAAGATGACACCACCCAAAACCAGCAAAGCCCAGGACCACCTTGGGTCGGTATTACCTTTCTCAAAAGCACCTCCAGATATTAAATCATGCAGAATTGAAACATGTGACATGTCAATAAGTCGATATTAAGTGTAATTTTTGCATAATTTTCACCAGTTTGATTAAATTGAAGGACCGATGACAATGCAATAATTTCAAAACAGTTTTCCATTATCCTTCTTAGGACCGCGAGGATTGATAAATTCTTTTATAGATCCTCTGTAGGGGAGTAAGAGAGATAGAGCTAGCGCGCGATCTGCGCATGCGTTGAATGGGGCACTCGGCACGGCACAACGGAGGCAGATACTTTTTCAATGTAGTGCATTCTCACCTTGTTCATTGCGAATTTTGCCATTAATCCTGAGTTAGGCTTCGACCGTCCACAAGGTGCAGTCATTTATCTAGACTCGCGACTGTTTGCTGCTGGACAAGCTTATATAGCATTTAGTCGTGTAAGATCTTTAGACGGTATTCGGATTGAAGAACTTGATTGCTCTAAGTCTAAGTTGATAGGAGAAACCCTATGCAACAATGAAGCTTTAAATGAAATGATTAGATTACGAAATGATTCGTAAGACGTTTCAATACCACCTGTCCACAAAAAACTAATTGATGAATCGAACTAAAAAATAAATAATATTTTAAAAAATCTAAAAAACACGCTTTTATAGCTAACCGAAATAAAAGGTAGAAAATAATTTATAATTACAAAGAGTTTATATTACAGTAGTATATGGTCAAACAATCAATCATAATTAATGACCTCAAAATAAAATTATAATAAAATTTAGGTTATTAACAGAATAATAATAATAAATAATCCAGAGTAAAAAGCGTGGGGTGCGTGATATATTAAATGTTAGAATCATTCTATTGGCAACTATCTATGAGAGGAGAGTTATGAGCATGTAGTAAAATGCACCCCACGCTTTTTACAGTGAATTAAATTATTCTGTTAATTACTTAAATTTTATTATAATTTTATTTTGAGGTCAGCAATTATGATTGATTGTTCTACCATCTACTACTGTAATCTGAACTCTTTGTAATTAAAAATAATTTTCTACTTTTTAGATCGGTTAGCTATAAAAGCGTGTTTTTATTTTTTTTAAATATCATTTATACTTATTGTAAGCTGAAAAATATGATTAATATGCTTAAATTATAAATAACCATCACATTTCTTACTAAAATAAGATTTTTGAATTGACTAATTCAATTGTACTGAATCTGTAGTACAAAAGCCATACAGTGTTTGACTGTTTTTGACTTCGTTATAGTTATAATTTATTTGGCGTCAACACATTATTTAGGACGAAAATTAATCTCATCTAAATCATTTCTGCATTGCATATAGGTTATTTGGAATATTCATTGAGTTGCTCAAATACACATAAGTTATTCTCAAAAAAAGAATTACTACCTCAGATACCTTGGAGGCATTATCAATACTTTCATGAAGCAGACCAAGTGGATATGTTACAAACTGGCATCCAAATTCTCTAACACTTATTGAAAAATCTTTCAAAATTTTGAGTCTCCACTAAAAATGAATCATTTTACAGGGTCATGCCTAATCCGGGTAACACTACAGCACAACAATCTATAATTGATATGCCTATCACACCATTACACCACTCAAGTGTATCTTACAGAAAAAAAAAATATAGTGAGAATGAAAAAAGAAAATTAGTTGATAGAGACGAAGTGAATGCTGACCACAGTACTGAAGATACCTCAGAAAAGACAAAAGGCAGGCTTATTGCAAATGGTGTTACCAACAATATCAATAAAAGTGTGGATCATGAGGCTGAATGGAAAACTATTGGAAATGAAGATAACAATATTGAAGATGAATTCCCTAGAAGTAAGAAGAAGAAAAGGAAAAATATGCTTATGCAGAGTGGTGAAAGCCCTTTTCATCCTGAATTAAATGAAGAGAAAAATAAGGTTATTGTAAATGAGAATGACAACAATATTCAAGAGTTTGTAGGTCCTGAAATAAAAAATAAAGATACTCTGAATGAACCTGACAAGGATATTGAACAGAGAGTCCCCAAAAGAAATAAGAGTAAGAAAAAGAAAAATAGTCCCGTGAATTACATGGATTTAGAGGAGACAGTCCCCAAAAGAAAGAAGAAGAAAGAGGAAAGTATGTTCATGAAGTACATGGATATCAGTAAATTTGTAAATTTAGAGAAAAATAATAAGAATCATGTTAAGCTTAACATATTAGATCATTGAAAAATTGTAGATTTTCATATGGTTGTCTGTCTGCTAAATGAAACCATATGTATATATGTTTGAAATACTGTTTACTGATAAAGTTTCTGCCACAATGCCGGCCCTTTTCAGGTATATAGTTTGATAATTCTGACAATATATTTTATTAGCGTGTCTTCTAGGTAACACTTCGTTTGTACACGAATATGAAAATCAAAGAAAAAACATATTGTGCTGTCATCAGTACAAAATATTTCAAGCATGTGGTTCCACTTAGCAGCCATATAAACATGGGGGATTATTAGCATGAAAACCACCTGATAAGTTTCAGGTGTTATCTTAATTGCAGATTGTATAGGCACTGACAAAGAAGAAAATGAACGTACGTCAGCTTTATCAAATATAGGAAGCAATCGAAAGGTTTGTGAAGGAGATCTAGCATCATATACAAAGAAACAACCAGTACCTATGACAACAGACGAATATTTAAAAGAGAAAAAAATTAATATAGTAAGAATCGATTATATTACATCAAAAGATATACCCGACAAAAGTCAGTGTCGGAGTTCAAAATCCAATACAGATATTCCAATCAGTACACCAAAGGTATCATTGACAACAAATACATTACCCATTAAATTTGCATCTGAGCTCACATGCATCAAAGAGAGTAATTCAGTGGATTTTCAAAAAGAAATTTGTACTAACTCTACAGACATTATTGAAAATTCTCAGGATAAACAGATGGCATGTGAACCACCAGATAAATGTCCTGATAGAAGAATTGAAAACAAACAAAATGGAGATTCCAAAGATTCTATACAAGAAAGTGTAATGGTATCAGAGGGAACTGAATTTAACAATGCATATAATAATATTGAGCAAAATCCAATAATAGATATAAAAACTCCAGAGAAGAAAGAGTACTCTTACAAAGAAGTATCTCCTTTGAGTGAGTCTATGCTGTCTTTTCTTGCCCGTTATGACAGTAACATGGAATCAACTCAGTCTATTAAAGTCGATGATGTACATGAAAAAAGTCCATTTGTGTCAGGTTGTCACTGGATCCAATCTGAAAATCGAACCGTCAAACATAAGGAATTATGTGGTGTGGGTGAGTTGAATTTTCGTATCAGTTATTCTTAATTTTCCCGCCAATTAACGAAGGATGTATTGTAATAGTGGAAATTTTATGCCATAAATCTTTGATTCATCATCAGTATAGGTGATTAATTGATTTTGGTGAAATAGACATAATGCAAGACAGTTTCCTACAATAAGAGCGAAAGAAAAATAGAGTTGTCGTCGCACACGTGCCAATTTGACAATCCAAACTTTTCTCTCCAACTTTCATGTGATCGTATTATTTCATATTTTAGAATTTTCCTGAATATATGACAGTGCTATATTTGCCATTTCAGTACGAATTCGTGCAGATCAAGATTCTTTTACAGTTAATTTCTGGCTGCATTTTAGTGTTATTCTTATCCATCTGGATTCATTAAGGAATGAGAGAAATTTCCAGTTTTGCTCCCGGTAGGCGGCACTTGTCTAGTTGGCAGTCAAACCAAACAGTAGTAATATCAAGAGAAGACACTTTGTGAGATGCCTTTATAACACTGCGGTCGGCCTCGTTAACCTTGGGAGTCATCTGCTTTATAGTAGGAAGCCGATTGTACATTTTTTGTTATATCATAGCATACTTGTTGAATTTGTTGTTTAGCATCAAAATAACTTACTGAGTTTGCTGTTTAGCATCAAGATACGTGAGATTTGACTAGTCTTACTTCCCACGCCTACTGGCGGGGAAGTGTTGAAATCGCGAGAATTTCCGAAAATGAGATGTTCTTTTGGATGTTACGTACACGGTGGCCAACTAAGAATGCGAGGTGCGGTATCTGGGAATCTATCCATCGTAGAGGCTTATTAGTAAAACGGTCAAGAAAAAAATCTGGAAAATATTTTCAAGTTTCTGAAATAGCCGCTGCAATCTTGAATCTAAAAACGTGATGTTTCTGTGAATTCCGCTATATTAACCTAACAAAAAAATACCTGATCTTCAAATTCGGAGATAATCTGAACCTTTTTTGTTTGACAATTTTTGTTGTAACTCTAAAAATTATGTGGGCAGGGAAGGTGGGTATTCAAACGTTTCCGTAAAAAACACCCTGTATCTTCGAAACCATTTCTGTCAGAATGTCTAAAAAAGCCTTCTAGCGGCCACATGTGAAACTAACAAAACGTCATATATTATAACATTTGTAGTAGCCCAAGAATATCTCTTTCCAACTAGCCCAAGTTTGTTACAATCGGCTCAACCATTTCGAAGACTCAAGGTGTGAAATCTTTGAATACCCCCCATCACTTTATTTTTAGAGATATAGCAAAAATTGTCAATCAAAAAAGTTCACATTATCCTCGACTTCAAAGATCAGGAATTTTTTGTTAGGTCAATATAGCGGAATTAACAGAAACATCACTTTTAGATTCAAGATTGCAGTTCTGTCCCCTAGCGGCCATTTCAGAAACTTGAAAATATTTTCCAGATTTTGCTCTTGGCTGTTTCAGTAAGAACTTTTTTTACCGCAAGCCTTTACGATGGATAGGTTCCTAGATACAGCACCTCGCATTCTTAGTTGTACAGGGTACATCACGAAAAACCATGTCACTCATTTCCATCGGTCTGTCTGTCGGATTATCCGCTAATTTTTTAACCGCCTATAACTTGAGAGATACCGCTCGGATTTCGATGAAGTTTTTACACAATCTTACTTCTCTGCCAAGGACGCAGAAGCTTTGCAGTTTTTGACAGTCATTTGGCGGCAGAGAAAAAGGCCAAAAACGATAAAGAATTGAATCTCTGTTTAACGTTTCAGAGGACCCTGATCATTTTTGAAAAAAAATTTACAGATCAAAAACTGAGAAGGTTCATATCAATTTCTTGATGTCATTACATTTATATGCTCCCAACCTTAGAATTATGCGCACCTATTAGACATATTACACACATCATAGATTTCTCAGTACTCAGTTCTGTACTGTTGTTCTGGTTGGAGTTATCTCTTATCTCTCTCTCTAATTTTATTGACCTTGTTTGCCTTCTCTTCATATAACTAGTTTTTGGTCAAACTGTCGAAAATAGATGGAAAACAAAACGATTTGTTAGAAAGGTAACCTATTTTCAACTTTATTTTGGTTTGACGTCTATTGACGTGAACAAAGCTGATCAGCAATAGACAGCTTGTCTGATTATAACCTTAGACATGACCTCCAACCTCCCTAGCGCGATCTAATTCGAGATTCAAATTATCCTTCATTATATCAAAATCAATCATCGCGACCAAACGTCAAGCAATAATCGTTACGTAAAGGTAGGACGCCAACTTATGCCTTTTTTTCCGAACTAGCTTGCTCAAGCTAATTTTGGAAACTATAAACCTCATCCTTTTCAATAGTGCAACCTATTTACGGTGTTTTGCGAGCAAGGGTGTGCTTTCTATCGTATTTTGTCTTCATTTAATAAAATATCAAATGAGCGGGCGACCCACTTTTTTGAATTAGTAACTCAATGTTATTCTGGATTCTTTTTCAAATAAGTAGCTGTTTCAAAAAAATGCGAAGGAAAAAAGTCTATCGGAAATGTTTTTTTGTTCGAAATGGCAGCTGTTCACGTGAGCTACAAATTCGTCAGAATAGTTTTTGAGCATTGAACTTATTTTGATAAATAATTTTACATTGAATGACCTAAAAGCAAGCAGCTTGTTTGATACTATGTCGTGCATTAATAATTTGTTTATGTCTACAAACACTAAGTTCATTTTATAGACTAGAATCGTAACTGAAAAGCGTAATGGAAAGACTTTTTTTAGGTCATTTTCTGGAAAATTTGAAACAAACTCCGAAAGTTGAACCGCAGATTGTACGACAGACTGAAGCACAGGTAACAGAAGAAATATTTGATGTAGAATCTTTTGTTACATTACGGAAAAGAAAAAGGAGTCGTCGCAGGCCAAAGAAAAATAGATTTGAGAATGATGACAGTGTGGCCTTACCTCCAAAGGTAAATAGATCTTAATGTTTGAAATCATGTTTGCGTTTTGTAAATAGTTTTTTCGTTGATGTTGATAATAATTTATATTTCAAAATCGTAAAAAATAATAATGTTATGTTTATTACCAAACAAAATAAAATGTCTGCGCGATAAAGGTAGCCAAATTCAACTAGAATGTGTCATTGAAAATCAGAAAATTTCACATTGACTGCAATAACAGACGATATTTGAAGGAAATAATAAAACAATGAATATAATGCTTTTTTATACGATAATGAAGAAAGACCAGTAGTAATAGTGGTGGGGAGGTGAAGCCTGGAAACTAATCCAACTTTGACCCGTTTTTTTATACGGTAATGAAGATGGATCAGTAGTAGTAGTAGTAGTGGTGTGGAAGCGAAGCCTGGAAACTAGACCAACTTTGACTCTTTTTGCCGACCCCCTAATACCAACACTGTACTACCCCACGAGCAGTCTATTGGTAACTGATATTAATAAACCAGCTCCGGTGATGAGATGTACCTATCGTTAATATTGCAGACGAACCAAGAAAGTTGATTGTTTTTTATTTTTTTGACAGACTATTCCAATGCCCAAGCCCATGATTACCCAAGGCAGTCCAAGTATTCATATAAAGTTTTGTGACGACGAAAATGAAGATTCTTACAAGGATAAGCCAGGAAATCAAGAGAATAGCAATGCCAAACACTATAGGGAATCACAATCTGAAGTGATGCAGAAAGCTATTTCCGTCAATGATATGGTACCAAAAGTAAGTAAATATTATTGCATTCAAGGTAAGAAACGTAGCAGTAGGGCTTTCCATTTTTCTCCAATCATTTGGAGAAGTTTTGAAAAGTTGAAATACTCGTAGATTAGGTATTGAATTTCCATTTTGATAATTTGTATTTTTTCATCCACGGCGTCATAGCGGAGAACACCTTTATTCCTAGAGGAATCTAATAACATTAAAGTAGAGATTATTTTGTGTGTCGGATGTTTCGGCATTCGGACGCAGTAAAGTTTATTTTAACCCGATAATACGCGAAATGTTCATTTCCAGAACATCTGGTGGGTGGTGTTCTGCTTACAATATATTAAATTATGGAAATTGTCATGTTTCAAAATAAACTAAACAAAATAAACAATTATTCAACACTTTTTTGTAAAATAACTGCAGCTGTGTGAGTGCCGTAAATCAATACATCTATAGTTCATTTCACGTTTTTTTGCGGTCAAGCCACAATCTGATACGCAATATGTAAACAGATTTACCAATTGTACCATGTGCGGAGCAGAACTTCCATAAGAAAATCCACACTCTACAAGTCGATCCTTAACACAGCTGCTAGTCGCTTTTGCTCACACGGATTGGGTGATAGAAGACCGTTTTCATTCACTTTGCGAAAATACTCCAATAAATTTAACTCAGACTGTCACACATTATATGATTGTATCTTCAGGCATTGCTATGTTTTATATGGCTCGATACAATGTAAACTCTCACGCCCATGCCAATGAAGTTGTCGTATAGATAGTGAGAAGTATAAATGTCGCAGACTAATACGTTGACGTGAAAATTTTCAAGGCGGTGAGACAAAACTAATGTGTGAGGGAGATAGATGTATGGAATAGAAATGGACGATATTGTTTTAATATCTGTTATATCTGATAATCGTTAATTTTTGATGTCAGCGATTTAAAACCGTAACGCGATCTCGACTTTCGAATAACGATGAGATTGTGGGTATACTGAGCAAAATACCGCGATCAAATTGTATGGAGTTAACTATCAAAGCCTATATGGCATGACATCCCTTCCGGTGGTATGATTCTCAGCCTTAGCGGCTAGCGCCCATGCGCATCTCTTACATTAAAGCGTTGACGGCATTTGCTAACAATCGTGATTCGTGATTTAGAAATATCAGTTACTAAGTCACAGTTCGTGAAATATCTGTCATTACTAGCATGGAAGTAATTCGTGTACTTATACTGTGACCCGCCAAAAACCGTGAAAAGACCTATATTTCAGCATGTGAGTTCTGTTACGACAGTACCATAGTTTTGGTATAAATACAGGGTGTTTCAGTAGAACTATGAAAATTAATGTTTAAAGTATAACTGCTGGGAGCGCTTCGACGAAAATATACTCAGTGACATTAGAAGTGTTACATCCAGAAAAAATAATTTCTTCAACTTGTTTCTTGGCAACATAATGACTATACTTAAAGCATGCTGGGGCAACAATGACAATGTTTTATCTTTGTTTTTGTTTACCTTTGTTAAAATGTTATTTTTTAGTTTTTGTTAAGAAAGCAGTTTCTGAGAGCTGAGTAGTACAGATATTTTTAGTTATTGCCCTATACTTTACTAGTGTTACTGGTTAGTACAAAATGCCTCGAATTTGAAGACGTCCAAATTATCACCATGTTAGCGACTTTGACAGCGGTAGAATTATTGCCTATCGAGGTGTTGGTTTGTCCCATCGTGAAATTGGCCGTAATGGTAATTGTACTGCAATCACGGTAATGCGTGTGTGTAGTGTGTGGATGGAAGAAGATTGAGGAACACGAAGAAGGCCAACTCGTTCACTAAGGCGTACCACAGCGCGTCAAGACAGGTGCTTCAGACAACTAGCCCTACAGACCGTTTTGCTAATACGCGTCAGATCGCTGACCAGTGGATTGGAGAAAAAGGTAGACCTGTTACTATGCGTACACTCTATCTCCGCATTCGAGCGTTTGTACTTTTTTCATACCGTCCACGGTTAGTGTTTCCTCTAACTGCGAACCACTGTCGTCAACGTTTTAACTGAAGCAGAGCAACGTTAGGAGGCAGAATGGCATAATGTCATCTTCAGCGACGAATCGCGATTCTGTCCAGGTACGCACGATGGTCGTAGAAGGGTAAGACGCCGCCATGGTGAACGGCGTGATCCTGGATTTGCTGTTGAGAGGCATATACACAGGACTGTTGTAGTAATGGTTTGGGGAGCTATTGCCTATGGTAGCCGATGACCCCTTTTCTTTGCTCAAGGCAATATGATTGCTGCGCGTTATGTTGAAAATGTCATACAAACCACTTCTCTGCCATATCTAGAGGGCCGTCCACACGTCCTTTTTCAGCACGACAACGCACGTCTCCATATTGCTCGACGTACAACGAACTTTTTTCAAGAAGCAGGCGCTAATGTTTTGCCGTTCACCGGATTTAAATCCCATCGAACACGTGTGGAATATGATGGGGAGGAGACTATCCACTTTGCACCATCCGCCAGAGACTCTGCCACAGCTAATCCACGAAGTTCGAGTTGCTTGGAATGAGGTGCCACAACCAGATATCGATCTTCTCATTTTGTCGATGCCTATACGTATTCAGGAGCGTATTCAGCTGCGGGGGTCGCCCAACACATTATTAATTTTTTTCTTATTATCTGTCAATAAAATTTCGTGAGAATGTTATCGTTTCATTCTTGACGTAAAAATACCTTATTGCAAAAAAATCAAGTTGAAAGAATTATTTTTTCTGGTGTGTAACACTTCTAATGTCACTTTTCAAATAGTGGCAATGCTGGTTGTGCTAGAAGTACACAGACATTCACATTCCAGGATAAACAGATGGCTTGCGAACCGCCAGATAAATGCCCTGATAGAAGAATTGAAAACAAACAAAATATTGATCCTAAAAATTCTGAAGAAGAAAGTGGAATGGTATCAGGTGGAACTAAATTTAAAATGCATCCAATAATATTGAACAAAATCCAGTAGTAGATATAAAAAATCCAGAGAAGAAAAGAAAACTCTTTTGACGAAGTATCTCCTTTGAGTAAGTCTCTGCAGTATTTTCTTGGCTTTAGGATAATAATAATGTGTAATCAACTCGGTCTATTGTAGTAGATGATGTATATGGAAAAAGTCCATTTGCGTCAGGCTGTCACTGGATCCAATCTGAAAATCAAACTGTAAAA